AGGGTCGTCAAATCCTATTCATTCTTGCCAAGGTAGGGTTTTAAATTTCTGAAACGAAACCAACTGGCATCAAAGCATAGGTTATATCTTTTCTGTTTACAGAAAAAGAACCTCTTATATTTTTAATGATGCAACCAGCTTCTTGGCATATGACAGTTAAAAATATGGCACAATTTGGAAAATGCAGAAAAAAATTGAAAAGAAAATAATCTAGCAAATATTTTTAAAGATCTCTTTACCTAATTTAAAGGTGTATGTTTCCCAGTTCTTACTTATAAATATCTTTTTACATTGAAATCATTATTTGTTGATAATTTTATTTCCTCTTTTTTCATTTAACATTATATATATATATATGAATTTTCTCTATGATCATCATTATTGTCATTATGGTTATGACATAGTTTATTTCCTAATCTCATGTTGAAAATTTAAGGTTAATTTCAGCTTTTTTCTATTATAATCAATTGATTAATATCTTTGTATAAAAATCTTTGTCCATATCTTGAATTTATTAACCTAATCTAGATGCCTAGAAGTACTGGATGACACATTTTAAGACTGTTTATTTATATCCATTTTTATCTAAGTTGTCTAATTTATTGGCAGAGTTGTTCATATTTCCTAATTACCTTCTTAATGTCTATAGGCATAATAGTATATCCTCCTTTCATTCTACATATTGGTAATTTATATCTTCCCTCTTTTTTTCCTAGTCAGTCCCTGAAGAGATTTTTAGATTTTTATCACTCTTTAAAAAGAAAAAACAACAACCCAGCATGGGTTTAATTTTTTCACTGTTTTTCTGCTTTCTATTGAATTGACCTTTGCTCTTTATTATTTCCCTCCTTTTACTTAATTTAAGCTTAATTTGCTGTTCATTTTCTAGTTTCTTAAAGTAGAAACTTGGACTATCAATTTGAGGCTTCTTTTGTTATATACACATTTTAATGTTATACATATTCCTCCAAATACCCTTTTAATGCTTCCTCACACACTCTGATAATTTGTGCTTTTATTTCATACAAGTGAAATTTTTTAAAAGATTTTTCTTTTGATCTCTACTCATGAGTTACTTAGAAGTATGTTCTTTAATTTCTAAGTATTTGAGAATTTTCAGATATCTATCTGTTGATTTCTTCCGTCACTCCCTGTGGTCAGACAGCATCCTTTGTATAATTTCAGTCATCTTAAATTTATTGAGATTTGTTTTGCCACCAAGCATATAGTGTATTTTGGAGAATGTTGGATGTGCACTTGAAAAAATACTTGTAATCAGCTGTTTTGGGGTAGAGTATTCTATAAATACCAATTAGGTCTAGTTGGCCAGTCATGTTGTTCAACTCAATTCTTTATCTAAATGTTTTATGAGAGTTATTGAGTTAAATGAGTTACTGAGAGAGGAATGTCGAAATATCCAACTATAATTATGTATGTGCTTATACTCAGTCGTGTTGACTCAGCGACCCCATGGACTGTAGCCCCCCAGGCTTCTCCATCCATGGGATTTTCCAGGCAAGAATGCTGTAGTGAGTTACCATTTCCTTCTCCAAGGGTTCTTCCCAGCCCAGGAATCAAACCCATGTCCCTTGCATCTCCTGAACTGCAAGCCAATTCTTTACTGCTGAGCCACAGGGGAAGCCCAATAAGTATAATTATAGATTTGCCTACTTTTTCCTTATAGTTCTACCAGTGTTGCTTCATATGTTTTGACACTGTGTTGATATATACATACAATTTAGGGCTGTTATCCCTTTTCCTTAAATTTTTTTACTTATTCAACAACTCATATATCTATTTTCATATGTAGAAAATAAGGAAGTATAATACAGTTGACCCTTGAACAACTTGGGTTTGAACTGCGTATGTCCACTTATATGCAGATCTTTTGTCAATAGTAAATACTGCAGTACTACACAATCTGCAGTTGATTGAATCCATGGATGCAAACTATGGATACAGAGTGCCAACTACAAGTTATATAAGGATTTTTGACTGAACAGAGGGTCAGCACCCCTAACCCCTGTATTGTTCAAGGGTCAACAGTATAGCCTTTCCTTTCCAGCAAACCTATAATGAGTGACTTCCAGTTTCTTATGAAATTCTCATAATTAATGAAAACTGTCTATCACTTGCTTAAAACCTCTGGCTTTCATCTTAAATGAAACTGAACTCCCTTTTGGTACATGCAGACTGATGATCTTAAGTCATTTTAGGATTAAGCTCATGGTTTCCACTCAGAATAAATGGATTTTTATAAATGTGTGTGTGTGTGTATGCATGCATGTGTGAAGTGAAAGTTGCTCAATCATGTCTGACTCTTTTGCAACCCCATGGACTATACACTCCATGGAATTCTCCAGACCAGAATACTGGGGTAGGTAGCTTCTCCAGGGGATCTTCCCAACCCAGGGATCAAACCCAGGTCTCCCACATTGCAGGCAGATTCTTTACCAGCTGAGCCCCCAGGGAAGCCCAAGAATACTGGGGTGGGCAGCCTATCCCTTCTCCAGGGGTCTTCCCAACCCAGGAATCAAACTGGGGTCTCCTGCACTGCAGGCAGAGTCTCTACCAGCTGAGCCACCAGGGAAGTCCATGCATGCATATATATATGCACATATTTAGTCTTTTAACCTTTCTTTTGGATTTCATACATATAAATGTGACAAAGAAATAAAATATAAACTTGGTACATAGTGTGTGTGTGTGTGTGTGTGTGTGCTAAGTCGCTTCAGCTGTGTGTCCAACTCTTTGCAACCCCATGGACTGTAGCCCACCAGGCTCCTCTGTCCATGGGCTTCTCCAGGCAAGAATACTGGAGTGGGTTGCCCTTTCCTTCTCCAACTTAGTGCAGAGAACAACAGCTAATTCATCAAATAGTCATGCTACACGAGGCCTTTCTACTTTGAGGAAACTGGGCCACCTCAGTTGAGGTCAGTGCCTCAGCCACGTCCGACTCTTCACAACCCCACGGACTGCCTGCAGTCGTTTCATCCAGGACCTTCTTGATCCCTTCGTCTCCCTTCTCCAGGACCTTGATCCCCTCGTCTCCCTTGACCCCACAGTCATCCTCAGTTCCTGTCTTTGAATTGCTGTTCCCACTTCTGTGTTTGTGCTGCTCCAGCCTGTTTTCCACAGAGGCCAGAATAACCTTTGAGAAATACACATCAAAGCATATCATTCCTCTCCTCAAAACTGTCGATTACCTTCTGATCGTACCTAAGGAAAAAAATCCGCAAGCCAAATCCCACCTCAGGACCTCACTGTAGTCACTCCCCAGGCTCAGAGTGCCCTAGCCATGGGCTTTCCCTCAGTTCTTCACACCGAACTCTTTCTTACCTCAGCATCTGCACATAAGTCTAGAACACCGCTTTCTCACCACCTCGCTGGAACCCCTCACCTCCTACTTTTTCCATCCTCCACCTATGAGTTTTCATCTGGCTGATTCATTGATTCGTACTCAGCACTCAAGTATCGCCTTCAGTATCACCTCCAGAGGTAACTTCTCTGGACCTCAAATCTAAATGTAGTTCTTCCTATTATTTACTCTTCTTCTTATAGTTCTTACCAGAGTTTTTAACTGCATTGTGTTTTGTATAGTTTGTTTAATGTTTTTCTCTTCTGCCTTCCTGAAGCTTTCAGAATCATTTACATCGATGTTTTATATTTGCTCTTTGACCAGCACATAGTAGGTGCCAAATAAGTAACTGTTGAATGAATGAATGAGTATGAGGAAGAAAAATGAAGTGTAGTAAATAATTAGAAAATATTTAAGAGGGAAAAATGCAATTTTTACTATATATCAATGAAAGGTATATTAAAGCATCTATTTTCTAACCTATTTAGTTAGTAAAATTATTCAAAGGTATAATTCCCTTTTTTCAGCTAAGATTTGAGGAAAAGGACAATTTCATACAATCCACAAGGATTCATTTTTGTTTATTTATTAAATATTGTTGAATGAGTAAGAATATTTATAATCATGGAAAGCAGTCTAGGTAAATGTATTTAAAATCATTGAATTGTTTTTACTGACACAGTATTTCCATCCAAGAATTTGTCATAAGGAATATTGCTAAACATGGGAAAGTTTATATATTTAAAGATATTTTTCACAGTGTTTTTCATAAAACGTTGGAAACCACCTAAATGCCCAGAAAAGTAATACCTGAGTAAAGCATAGTATATTCACTAGATAGTATATGAGTGGAGGAAAAACAAGTGAAAGCGTTAGTCACTCAGTCGTATTCAACTCTTTGCAAACCCATGGAACCCGTAGCCCGCCATGGTCCTCTGTCCATGGAATGCTCCAGACAAGAATACTGGAGCGGGTTGCCATTTCCTTCTTGAGGAGATCTTCCTGACCCAGGGATCATACCTAAGGCTCCGGCATTGCAGGCAGATTCTGTACCATCTGAGCCACCAGGGGAGCCCACATGTGAGTAACCTAAGCTAAAGGTAAAAGTAACATAAGCTAAATATAATGATTTTCTAAAACTTTATCTTAGTGCTGTTGTTGTTTAGTCGCTGTCATGTCTGACTCTGTGCGACCCCATGGACTGTAGCCCACCAGGCTCCTCTGTCCATGGATTTCCCAGGCAAGAATACCGGAGTGGGTTGCCATTTCCTCCTCCAGGGGATCTGCCTGACCCAGGGGTCAAACCCTTGTCTCCTGCATTGACAGGCAGATTCTTTACCACTGAGTCACCAAGGAAGCCCATTTATATTATTAAGTGTAAATAAATGAAGAACGCAGAGTTTTATAGTAAAATTTACAAATCTCATCCACAGGGAAAAAAAGTCTGGAAAGAAGTCTGTCACACTGTTATGGCTTTAGGTGATTTCCTTCTCTCTCTCTTTTCGTAGACTATAATATTACATTATGGTATAATATAGCTTGTATCTTGAGGTTCAGTTTTATTTTCAGTACATTTAAGTGAATCCTGAGCCTCACATATTGTGATGATTTGAACTGAAATGCCCATGCTCTCTTTTTTCAGGATGACAGAAACTTTGCTGAAAGCTCCCATGCTCATGGGTTAAATCAGTCATCTTGTTGGCAGGATCACAGTCGCTTCCTGTCTAGTCCACGATTTTCCCACTTGAACTGTAAGTAATAATGCCCAGTACTAGCTTTTAGATTGGATTTAAGAAAATTCAGTTCATGGAAAGATTAAAATGAAAGACCAGAACGTGATAGTAATATTCATGTTGTAATTTTGAAAAAATTTTCATTATGAATCATACAAACAATGCCCAAGTACATTTATAATATTAACCAACTTACTAAAAATATATGGAATCCCTTCCTTTTAGACTTTACACTTCTCACAAACCTTAAAACTGAATCACCAAATCACCAAATTTTTTTGGCATGGAGATTGCTAGTAACTGTGGATGAGTGAGTAAGGAAGTTAGATTGTATTGTAATAAAATCCAAGTCTTCAAAATGTAGAAAAACTATTCAGAAATATCTAATTTTGTACAAAGAATAAGGATATGAAAACTATTATTGTGTAGGTTTCATTCTGTGAATAACACACTGTAAATATTAATAAAAGGTTATAACATCAGCACAGTGTGAGTCTGTTGACCCAGAATACCTTCTCCCACCACTTATACTTCACCTTGGATGCAGTGTCTTTAAAAAAACCTTCAGAACTCATGGTTTTAAGTATGGTTGCTGTTATGAGTGCTCACAATGCATTACAAATTCCTTTGAAAACTTTATTGGAATAATTATGGAATTATTTGCTATTCAAGTGACATTTTATTTACTGATTCTTCTCTTCACCCAAGAGTGAACTCCATGATAGGAGTGATGTTTATACACCACTGTTTCCTCAGCATCCTATATGGAACTTGGCACATAGTAAATGTTCAGTTAATGTAAGATGAATGAGTATATGAATTTTTTTATTTCAAGTCCACTTTTATCCGAGTCATTTGGGATTCAAATGTTAACAGATTCTTATTTAGATCATTTAGCTCTTCAGTTTTCCATGGATATAGAGTTTGTACATTCAGTTGGACAATGCTGTCATTTTAAAAAGCTAGGCTTCTATAAAATAAAATATCAAAATTAGCCACAAAGAAGTAGGTCAAATAGAAAAAAATAACTCTCATTTTTTCTGATTTATATTCATGGATTCATTGAATAAATATTTATCAGTTTCTGACAAATGGTTTGGCTTCCATTATATCATGATTATTTTATTCCAACAGCTAAGCATTTTCCCTTTCCTGTCCTAACCATTTTGCCAAGTGATTTTATATATTTTCATAAGCCCTCTGCTATTCTAATCTGGCAGTCACCCTTCAATTTGGATCACATCTCAGGTTGGTTCTGGTACCTCAGAATATGATATATATGTAGTTATACAAAATTTTTATTTCTCATATTAAGCAATGGAAAAATTTCCTCAGGTCTATTTGATGTATGAAAACATGGAAGAGGAGGAGGGTGGAGACCAAGCACCAAAAAACAACATGGTATCCCATCCTTAAGACATCTAAGAGCTCAGAAATAGACAGCACCAGGATATGAGCGCAGAGGTCTTTGTTCTACTGGTATTTAACTTTGCCTTTAAAACTTGCAGGAGGCTCCTTAGAAAGGTTCCTCTTAAGAAGGTGGCTCGAAGACATCAAGGGGAAGACATCCGCATCGTTAGAAGTTTATTCAATATTACGGCAGGCGGTAAAAGAGCCTGTATTTGGCTTTTCACTCAGTAGCATTTCATGACTAACATTGGTCATTTCCTAAGATGTAATACTCACAGGCTGCTATAGGCTTCTATATAAATATACTGACAGAAACTTAAGTAAGAATAAGAAAAAAATATCATTGAGAACATTATTTGGATGAGAAAATACTTTATTAGTCTATATTATACAATCTGAGTGAAAAACTTAGCTTAAAAAGTAAACCTCTTTATTAATTTATTGATTATTTATACATAACCATATATTTTTCTATTCTTCTTTTTAAGAATTTTTATGATTTTCCTCCCAAACCTACCTCCTCCATGTTTTTAAGGATACTTTAAAAAGTTTAATCCTAGGTACCTATTGTTACTCATTTTAGGTGATTTAATAAACATTTCTGGAAATAATATTTATTCTAATTTACTTTTCTGATGAACTTTGAATTTTCTGTATGTTTTTCATGATGGCTTTTGGAATTGAATTATGATCACCCTGAATACATCTCCATTTTTGTGGTACAGACAGTTTCAGCTTAATTATAGAAATTGTCCTGTCCTGAAAATTTTCTTGACACTACAAAATTAAAAAGGAGATTTGTCAGATCAACAAGGAGAAAAATGGAGCCTGCAGTAAGTTGATAATACAGGGAACAGAAGACACCTTAAAAATATCATTAATGCCCTCAGAGATATGAGGAAATTGTGCAGCCACTAAAAAGCAAGATACTGTAAAAAAGGAGCATGAGTTAAGAGATCTCGGAAATTTTAAATATGATACTAGAAAGGTGGAAAACAACAAAGTTGAGAAACCTCAAAGAAAGCAGAAGATAAGGAAAAAAGGGCAATAGAAGAGATAAGATATTCAGAAAAACCAATATAGGAAGGACAGACCGTGATTAGTGAGAGTCCTGGAAAGAGAGAAGAAACAAAACAGAACAAAGGCCAGAAGTGGGCAGATGACACGGCCTACCCAATAAATGGCTATTGCCCAGCTGTCGCCCTGAGATTTTTTTCTTCCCCTTCCTTCTGTATGGATGGATGGCCATGTTTCTTTGGTCACCCCAGGCCTTCCTCTGCTGGTTTCAGTTCTTTTGCAGGAGCACATCCAAGAAAAGGAGGTAAATATTTTCATTTTCATATTTCTGAGAATGGGTTTCTTCCATTCACACCTGACTGAGACTTTGCTGGCTATAAAATTCTGGGTTAAAAAAGACTTTCCTTCTGAAGTCATCACACAATTATCTTCCAAAATCTAGTGTTGCTATTGAAAAACCTTCTGTCTTTTTCGTTTGACTCCCATTCCTCTGACATGATCATTTTCACCACTGCTATCCCCCTGCACCCCTGGCCCGGCAACTTTTAGGATTGTCTCTTTAACTTCCATGAGTTTTGTGATGGTATGCCTCCCCATATGTCTTCTACCTATTTGCTCTGGGGTGTTTTTAATCTAGACATTTATATTCTTCAGTTCTGTCATAGGGAAAGAAGAAGCACAAGATTCCACCAGGAAAAGCTTTAGGAAATAAATTTTTTAAAAAACTGGATAGATTATTGAGTCATTTGAGCACTTAGAAAAACTACTAGTAGGCACATGACAAGTCTAATTGAGCTATTAGAAACAACTGAGGATGGTTATGGAGAAAGAGTAAATAAAAAATAGATAAATAAATAAAAACACAGGTCAATTAATAACTCCAGGAAAAAAAAATGAAAAGAAACATTGTCAGAGTAGTCCTATTAGGTTTGTATACGCCACATTTACAGTCAATATAAATACTCACTATTGACATAACTGGAAGTCCAGACGTAACTATATAGGGAGGGTGGGGTAAAGGGAAGTGGATGGGTGTGGGTATGTCTAAAAATGATAACTCAGAAAATAGCAATATAAGCTTCTTTTTCTTTCAAAAATTGAAGTAAATATGGAAAATAAAACTAAAAGAGTTGATTGTGGTTGACTCCAGGGAGCAGGTATGTGGGGTTGGGAGGGATGGGGCAAGAGACCGCAGTCTTTCTGTGTAGTCCTTTGGTGCTGTTTGATATGTGTATGTATGGACGCTCTGGCTAAAAAGGAATCTTATAAAAATAGAATGCTACTAAGAAAACTCCAGCTTTTATGTCTGACTAGCATGTGCTGGATTTTCTTGTTAACTTCTGAATGCAGCATGAAAGCTGGGGGTGGGGGGTGGGGGTAAGAGCAGCTGAGACCTGTGTGGAGACAAGGAGGGTAACTGAGGTGCTGAGGTTGACACGGGTATCTGAGCCCACGGAACAGGCTCCTTCTGATTCGGGTTGGGATTTGCCCTGGATGAGGCTCTTTTGTCTGTGCTGAAGATGCTAAGGCACTCATCCTGCTGACTTCAGTGCCCCGTCAAAACTGTGACCGAAAGCGCAGAATCACTGACCACGGAAAAACAAAGGAAATGGGAAAATACTGCATAATTTGTGGTCTCTGAAATGACCCAGCCTTAATGAAAGTTTGTTTTCAGTAGTAATTTATGTCAGCTTTGTGTAGTTCAGGTCAATTCAAGAAAAGGTAGATGCTTCCCTGCCAGGAAGAAGGGGAGAAATGTATAAATTGTAAGTTTATATGACCATTGGAAATAGGAACACAGAAATTCATTATTTAGAGCCATGATTACTACCAAATTTATCCTGGCTGGCTGGAAGCTATGGCCGTGATTCAGGACACTCTTTTAGAAGGCTTGGATTCCATTACCTGTATCCTGTAGACAGTGGGGGCTTAGTAAGGGAGACTCATAATGCCAGCTTTGGAAACTGTCATTTTTTACTTTTTTGTAAGTAGTGACTGACCACTGGTCTCCATGTATAGCTCCTTGTAGGCTAAAAGACACAACTTCAGGACAGGGCTTTCACTTCCAGGGCCCAGACCAGACTGGATTGGAGTGAAGTCTGAAGCAAACTGAAGACTTCTCAAAGTCTCGAGTTCTTTGAGATTCAAATGTGAAATGTTCATGGAGTTGGTATCTATAAACTCAATTTTAAACATAAATGCAAATTGTAATTTTTCTATAATTCTAGCATTGTTGTAAATAATGTTTATTTAAATAAATAATCCCAGAAAGAAAGGACTGTGGTTTTTCATGGGGTTACTTTAGGAGTTGAAAGTGAATCTTACATATTAATTTAACTTGAGATTCTTAGAAAAGCAAATCAATGAAAGTTAATAAAAAAGAACTTTTTTTTTTTCATTTCCTTAACCTCAGATCATACTGCTCTAAAAAGAAAAGTTAGTGTACTTAATATGTGTTAAAGGTGAAATGATAGAACGTACCTGGACCAGGACTTTATACTAGTGAATGGGAGGTTATAACTGAGCTGAAACCTGAATGGCAAGAAGAATCAGCTGAGTTAAAACTGAGTGGGAAGCATTTTGCTAATCCAGGGGCAGAACTGGAAAGACCCCAGAAGGAGGAAAAGAGGGAGGAGAATGAGTGAGGGAGAGAGTGATTGGCAGAGAGCATGGTAGGAGATGAGGTCCCATGGCAGTCTTTTCAGCCTCCATCAGATGTTTGGATTTTGTTCTAATTTCGCGGGGAGGCCATGGCGGGTGGGGAGGGAAGGGATAATGCAGCACAGTGACATAATCTGATGAACATTTTAGAAAGACAGTTCCGGTGTGTGGAAAATGGGGCAAGATGAAAATAGGAGAGAAAATGGTGGCTTGCGCTGGGATGATGCTATTAATAACAGAGATGGTGTGAAGCAGAAGGACTCAGGTGAAATGGAAGGCAGACTCCTCAGAACTTACCCTTAAGTGGGACGGGTCCAGCAGGCAGGCCACAGGAAGGAAGGAACCAAGGTTTCAGAAATTGGATGGATGAGTATGTCATTTTCTAAGATGAAGAAGAGCAAGGGCTAGGCAGGCATCAGAGATGAAGAAACGAAGTGGGAGGACTGACCGATACATCTGGATATAGGCATCGAGCTCAGAAGAGAGGCAAGAGGTGGTAGAAAAAGAGTAAACCTAGATTCCATATCTAGTCTCAGTTTGCTTTTGTGTAAAACAGAAGTTTCTATAAAAAGGAAGCCCTTCAGATTTCTTCTAAAATCGTGCGCTTTAATGTCACTGTATACTGATCAACACCCGCCTTCTACCCTCACTCTTCAAATCCAAAACAAACATATGACATGAATATGTGGGGTTTTTTTAATATAGTAAATTATTTTATTCCTCAATTGAATATTTGGTAGTCCATGTAAAGCTTATAGAAAACTAGTAATCAAATGCAATGATTACTTACAGCTTTGTCAAGCCAGGGATTATATTCATCCGGGTTTCTTTTTCTCTTTTCTCTTACCTTGCCAGCCTTTACCCAAAGAACAGTTGCTCCAGACTCACCTTCAATCAAGGAAGATGCCCCAAGTTTACTGATGGATGGAAGAAGTCCACAACCCAGAAAGGAGGAATACAAAAGCAAAAACAGCAAAATGTAATTAGTTACTCTCCCTGAGCGTTTTACAAATAATAGTATATGTATCCTTGCCACAGTTTGGCCCAGATAATCTAGCAGACCTGTCTGCAGCATCTGCTCTTCAGCATTGCCAGACACTGGCTGAAGTACAATGCAATTGGTCTTCGTGGATGATAAAAGTTAAGCCAATCCAAGTAATATCAGCTCATGAATGACATACGGCTAACTTACTGGCAGCTTACACCAGCAGAGAAAGAAGAATATTTTTCACCTTGCATTTTCCACTTTCAGGTGTAGTCAGTCACATTTTTCTGACCAAAATTTGGATTTATAATTGAGGTCTTTCAAAAATGACTGGCTGAAAAATAGGAAAATTAGTTCTCCTTGAGGCAGAAGTTTCTGGCACTTGGAATTCAGGGAGCATTTGTATACAAGTGATTTTATTTTGATGCTTTCTCCCTCATAAATGATCATGTGTTATAACATGTCATGGAGATATGCATATATAATATTAGACAGTCCACTTTATAAATGCTCAGGATTGTTAACATCCATCATCTCAGCAGTCTGTTACTACATGCAGTATCTTAAAATTATTTCCAATCATCCATTTTTGTAACAATGAAGAATTTACAAATGAAATCTGAATTGTTAAGAGTTATAAAGAATTTGTAGCATAATTTATTTATTTGTCTTTTTGTGGCCAAAAATCCCCCTGTGATCACTCTGGTCATATCCTGGACCATCTTTGGTTTACTCTGACCAGAATCATAGCACCAAACTCCTGTGTCCATGAGATTTACTTGCCAAGAGTTCTAGTATAATCTGGTACTATCTGTCTGAACACTTTGAGTATCTAAGAGTCTTTCTCAACATCAGTGTTTTTAAGAACCTATTCTCTTTACATGCGGATTTACCAGTGAAGAAAGATTTTTATTAAATGCTAAATAAAAGTAAACATCCAGGAACTAAATCCCACTGGGTCATGATGGAAAGATTCTGAATGAAGACAAGGACAATAAAGCAGTATCTTCATAATGTGCATTACATTTTGTGTTTGTTCAAATCTACTTGCTTTTTAGATCTCTCACATTTCATAAAGATGTTTCTTGTTCTACTCAAGATGTGTTTTCCTAACTTACCATATTTAAATGTGCAGAATAAATGGCATTCTCCATGAACTCAAAGGCAACAGTTACTACAGAAGACAGGATGTTTTATTTCACAATTTACCAGTACAACGTATACAACCTCTGATAATGCAGCCATGCATTTTATCATTTGTTCATTCCCAAAATCTTTTACTGACTTGTTGCTATAGGCTAATCACGGTGTTAGAAGGAAAAAGAGACCCCAAAACAGGTGCGCATGTCCCAAACTTTATTTGGCATTAGGAGTTATATGAGAAAGGAGTGATGTGTTCATGCTGGCTGGAGAAATTCTGAGTAGACACCACTAAGCAGGCTTGGTTTGGTTGTGTCTAACCTTAACCTTGAGACTTGGAGCTGCTAATGTGCTAACGAGCACCAGAGGTTTCAGTGCAAGTGGAATTATTACTCTTTAGTAATATCTGGGATATTGAGAAATTATGTCAGTATTTTCATTGATGTTTTAACTAATACCATTTTTATCTACGTGGATCTAAATGACTGGGAAGAAAACAAGAGAGAAATTAACAGGTTTTGCTTAAGTCCTACAGGTAGATGTTAGATAACTTTTCATTGAATGCATTAGTAGGAACTTCATGTGGTCTGTTCTATTTAATAGAAACTGATCTAAAACATTATTAGCTTTTTGTGGGGTACAAAAAAGGATTATTAGCTTTCTAAAAAACTCTGTGGTCATTAAAAAAGTTACATCAGGCCAGTTAAGCCTGAAAAGTGGAGGTAGCTCAGATTATGTACTTGGCACATCCTTGAAAACATGTTAGGTGATGATTTTATAACAGAAAAGGATCTTATAAAAGGGCTTTTTTTTTAATCTGGAAAAAAAAAAATTAAAGCATTGTATATTACTGAAGTCCCTATACTACACTTGGATGAATGAAAGGGTCTGACTTTAAGTATGGAACACACAAGAACTTCAAAGACAAAGTCAACTTTTTGTGAGCAACAGTTTTGTCAAAATACCTTGGCCCTCTGCTTATGTGGAGTTAAATCCAAGGACCTGTCTCCTCTGAGGATTTTTCCCATCTCTTGCAGTCACCATAAGCTTGAGTTGGAAATTTAAAAGGAATGCTAAGGAAACACTAATAGTTTGGTTTGTACATTTCAAAAGCCAGAACAGTTTTCCCTTTACTCACCCCTTTGGCAGGATAACGTGATATCAGCCCCATTGAGCTGAGGCTGGTCGGCCATGTTGCTTGTAGCACTAGGATATTGGACAGGATAAACCTTATTCTGGAGATGATCGTGGTCCCAGACTTAATTTGAAGATTGACCTTTTCGGTTTAATAATTTTGATTCTTCTGGCCATCTTTCTCCCTAAACACACTAAACTTCCACTGAAGTTACTGAAGGCTGCAGATGGGAGAAGCACAGCTGGGAGAAATCTGGCTTGATGTTTTTCCCATTGGCTAAGGTTATTATTATTTCCTTGACTAATGTCTGATTTGAAGGCTGGAAACCAGTTGGTTATATAACATCTTATGCATCCAGCTTACCAGAATCACAAAGTTTCCTTCTTGTTACAGTTTACATATTTTTACTAATAGGTATATTTACTATTACATATTTTTACTATAGCTGAACAAAACCGTGCCCATAAGGCATTTGAATTGAAAGGTTATGTGGATAAAAAGCACCTCCTTGCTTAGCTAAGAATGCAGTTAAGCCTCTTTTTCTTCATTTTCCTCCTTTAACTGTGGCAAATGCATAAGGCTCAGGTCAGAGGTATGTAAAGCATTCTTATAATCACAGTGATTATCACATGTTCCCTAATCTATATCGAATCTTATCATTAAAAAACAAATAACTGTTTTGTGTAGGACTTAAATCTTCCATATAACTAGGTGTTGTATTTACTTTGCAAACCCCTTTTTAGGAAGGGGTAAATATCTAAAATTGTTTTACTGAGAATTTGTACTATAAGCCCAACTACACATTATATGGTGAAGGCCAAGAATATAAATGATCATTGAGGAAGCTATTCCTTTTTCAACATTCTTACACCCCTCCCCAAACAAAATGTCCCAGTGTTTTCTCTCAATTTAAAACAAAAAACAGAAAATTTGTGATTTTCATGGCCTTCAAATGAGGAAGCTGTCCTCACGAAAGCATCTGGTTTTCTTGGATCAAAACTAAAGCATGAACCTTAAGCTGGAAAGTAAGTTTGGGAAAGTTTGTATATAAAGGCATTTCATGCTCTGAAGTATGATTTGAAAATAGTCACATCTTTCAACTTTTAAGTTCTTGAAAGTTTAGCAGTAAAAACATATCAGCTTATTCCCTATTTGAGGAAAGAAATTCAAACCATGAAAGATTCCATTTAGTTTCATTTCCATTCAAAACACAACACATCTCATTTAAGGCTAAGAGAAATGCTTACATCTAGAAGCAGAACTTTGGATTCTAAGCCCCCAAGTAAATTTCAGGGAAGTCTCCCTTGCTTTTGATCAGTAACAAAGTAAACGAATCTGCTGTGCTCTGGTAAAAACCAGCTGAACCTTCAAGTTCTAACCTCATCTGTCCCCATCTCAGCCTCTGTGGCTCTGTCCTCCCCATGCCCACGTCCCAATCCAAATCCAAACCCAAACCAAGCCACTCGGAGTTTTACCAAGTCAGCTTCTACTATTCACCCCTGGAGTCTGATACGTCTCTGCAGCCTACAGTGAAGGAGCTGGCTGACTGGTGTTTGTCACACCTTCGTGTCTTTAAGGACCAGCCAATTAAAAGGATTTGAATGTCACGTGTCTTTGACTACTCTCCTGGTTGAAAACCCAGGAATACTTCTGTGGCTGGTATCTTTTCTTCCATAATACAGCTTAACTCTGACACGGTCCAAAGCCATGAGACAATCGTCAGCCTGAACTTGTTGCCTTGCTCTCTGCAGGAATATGTGGTATTTCTAAACATAGCAGCATGTTAGTTCTCTTTCGGGAGGATAGTAAAAACAACAAACATATAATCTGATGACCTCCACCTTTCAGGGGTTTCCCAGTGGTGCTAGTGGTAAAGAACCTGCCTGCCAATGCAGGAGACATAAGATAAGTGGGTTCGAGCCCTGGGTTGGGAAGATCCCCTGGAGAATCCCATGGACAGTGGAGCCTGGCAGGCTACAGTCCATAAGGTTGCAAAAAGACACAACTGAAGTGACTTAGCATGCACGCACCACCTTTCAGAATGTAAAACCTTATGCTTTTGAGCATATAGGTGGGGCCATGAAAAAAGTGCTGCAGTAGCCAAATTAGAGCCATACATTTAGAATCTGTAATTGTAACAGTAACTTGCAGTTCTACGGCATTGATTGCATACTTGCCATTCCCTGGAATGAATGCTGTTTTCCTCAAACTGGCAGATGGTGGACATTTATGCCCAGACTGTCTTCTATCATCCCTCCATAGATCCTCATGAGTTGACAGCCTCTCATTTTTCATCCTTTGGTAAAGCATTTTGACTGGCATTATTTAAATAAATAGCAAAAATTACCACTTATCCTTAAATATAGGAGTTCTGTGTCATCTGTATACTCGACTTAAAATATCAGAATACTGGCTTGAAGCAGTATTTTTTTAAACAGAATTAGTGGATATTAAACCATCACCGGTTCAGATGTCATAATTTAAGAGAAAATATCTTATTCTGAGGGCAGGAAGGATAATAGCATATGTTCATTTGTAACTAGTTGGACAGTCTCCTCTAGAGTCTGACTTCATGTTTTTGTAAAACCTTGCTTTTTTTGCAAGTGTTACCAAGCCTCCAGAGTTGGTCCCCCAGCAAGGGTCCTCCTGCCCAGAGTTGATCAAGCCAACAGAACAAGAAGCAAAGAGGAGCTTTATTCTTTGATCAGGGAATGAAGTGGTATGAGCGCTGAAGGACACAGTTTCCTGGACTGGCCATGGGTGGGGCTGCTTTATAGGGGTCCTAGCAGCAGGGAGGGGAGGGGGCAGAGGTCTGGTGAGAGGGGCACAGCTGGGCGGCTGAGAGCCCAGATCAGTGTTGGGTGTGGTGTCTCTGCACATGGCCCACTACCATCATCTTGAATCAGTGTTGTGAGTTGCCTTCGACATAGCCCATCGGAGCTTTATCCAGAATGGCCATTTGGTCTTGGAAACTCTGGTCTGAAAGGCTGGATTCGAGGCCTCTGCGTGCTATAAGCAAGTGGAACTAGACTAAGGACCAAGGGAGAAAAAAGTTAGATTTTATTTTATTACCCATATTCTATTTTATTTCCTGTGAATTTTTATGGGCTTTGCCTGTGACAATGGGACACATCTTATTTTTATGATATGTTTTCCATCAAATTAAAATCTCCTTTCTTTTTTCTTCCCCTTGCAAATGTTTCAATTTATTTCTGAATCATTTGAAGCCACCAAGGGTTCAAATGGCTTTTAAAAGCCCCAACTTGGCCAATAGCGTGAAAACTTGTACTTCAAGATAGTGCATCCCTCTTTGTTCTTGACATAATAATTTCAATTGGAAATATTTTTTCCCTCCAAGTGTCTCTCATTTCTTCCCCTGGGATCCATAGTCATTTCCTAAGGATCTTTGGAAGCCGGTTGTGTCCTTGATTTGGGCCAGCTTGTAGGCTGGAGTCATGCTCACGTGCCTGGGCATGCATTTCAAGATACAAGACAATGGCACCATAAAGAGTTTGTGAGATTAACACATGAAATACAAGTTTTTTTTTAAATGATCTGGCTGGTCTGTTAACTAGGTGTGAAAGACTTCTCTTGGTAAGACAAGTGTTTCTCTTCATCCTGTGTGATGATACACAGCTGTTTTTAAAGCAGTTTGGCCATCGGATGAGAGGAGCTGACTCCTTGGATGAGACCTGATGCTGGGAAAGATTGAGGGCAAGAGAAGAGGGTGACAGAGGATGAGATGGTTGGATGGCTTCATTGACTCAATGGACATGAGTTTGAGCAAACTCCAAGAGCTAGTGAAGGACAGGGAAGCCTGGCATGCTGCAGTCCAGCATGGGGTCGCAAAGAGTCAAACACGACTTAGCAACTGAACAACAATATGTATTTCATATATCAGGACTTATTTCTATCCCCCCCCCCCTTTTTTAACCTTAAAGCCAACAGAACAATTCCCAAAATATGCGTCATGTTGGACTTAGGATTTAAAATCTAAATGTCTTAATATATCCCCTTACAAGATTTTTTTTCCTTTTCAGCTCCTAAAGCCAGCTATTATCAGATCACACTGCATAACTCTCACTCAATGTTATCCCTGGGGTAGTGGTAACACTAGTTTAGATTTTGTTTGTCCATTATTGCTGAGCACTTAGCTGAATAAGGGAATGGAGAGTGGCAGGAGTTCTGTAAAGTGATATGAACACAGAGGAAGCTGTGTCGCCTTCAACAACAGTATCTTAAACTGTTTACTTGAAAGAAGAAACTGCGGTAGCCCTCCATCCTTTATCTGATGCAGGGTCCTGGAAAGCAGCGTTGTGAGAAGTCCTGTTGAACTTGGGCACCATAAAGTCCCATTTCTGATGAAAATGACACTGTTCCTTAATGTTCTTGACGGACTGCTCGCTGGCCGTGTGGACCAGGATGCAGAGTGACCTTATTGCAGATTTTTTTTTTTCTTTCAAGTCTGAGTGCCCTGTGTTTTTCTGTTATTTGGGATTTTCATCTTATTTATTCCACAGGTGTGATTTATGACGGCCATTTTGAGAACTTCCCATCACGCCGAACCTCGAGCCTTCGGTTACCGGAAGTAAAGCAGCCATGGCGGCAAAGCCGTCTAACATGGTGGCTTTGGGGAGGTCAGGCAGTTAAAAGAAGTTCGGAGAAGCCTAGAGACTTTGGCCTCTTTTTATTTATTTATTTTCACTCCAAGCTGAATAAAATAGATGCATCAGTTCTAACGAGGAACTTCCTGCCCAGAGTCACTGGCAGAGCAGTCTCCTCCCGACAGCTGCAAACTTGAGAGACCTCACGCTGCTGGCCAAGGTTCATTCTGTGCTTTGACTTAAGACCACAGCCAGTAAAGCCAGTGTGTACCGTGGAAAGAGTTTCCCACTTTTTCCATTGGAGCAGCCTTTGGTGAGGTTAGTTTGACTGTTCCAAATTAACAGTGGTGGGTCATTGCTCATTTTTTATATTTTAACTGTGTGTAAACCTACTGATTAGATTCCACTGAGGACAAATCATAGTTTTCTGAGGAAAATACATATCTTTTTATTCAGTATTCCTTACAGCACTGGTTTTCAAAGTATGGTCCCCAAACAAGTGGCACCAACAGCAAGCACCTAGGAGCTTGTAAGAACTACAAATTTCTCATCTCCAGACCTAAGGCTTCAGAAACTGGGGAAAGTGCCAGCAGTCTAGATTCTAATAAGTCTTCTACGTAATTCTGATGAATGCTGAAGTTCAGGAGTCATATGAACTTAAAAGTTCACTTGATTACTGCCTTCTCTGAGTTTTAGTCTCTATCCCAAAACAAAACAAAGCAAAAATATTATTTTCCAGTTCCTAATATGTAGTCTCCCAGGTATCCAAACTATGACTCTGGGCCCAGGTCACCCAGGTTAAGGAGATGAAGCAGCTTCCAAAGGTGCTTGATTTACTATTAGAGGTCACTTCTCCCTTTGCTTCACCTAGCAAGCTTCTATTAACAAGAGCTCATCAGCCATTCAGAATCATCATCAGAGCATCTAATTAAATCAGGACCTACAGGTATAGCTCTTCTCTCTGGTGAAATGTAGACTAATATTTGATTATCAAAAAAGATGTGAACACGTCTAACATGGTGGCTTTGGGGAGGTCAGGCAGTTAAAAGAAGTTCGGAGAAGCCTAGAGACTTTGGCCTCTTTTTATTTATTTATTTTCACTCCAAGCTGAATAAAATAGATGCATCAGTTCTAACGAGGAACTTCCTGCCCAGAGTCACTGGCAGAGCAGTCTCCTCCCGACAGCTGCAAACTTGAGAGACCTCACGCTGCTGGCCAAGGTTCATTCTGTGCTTTGACTTAAGACCACAGCCAGTAAAGCCAGTGTGTACCGTGGAAAGAGTTTCCCACTTTTTCCATTGGAGCAGCCTTTGGTGAGGTTAGTTTGACTGTTCCAAATTAACAGTGGTGGGTCATTGCTCATTTTTTATATTTTAACTGTGTGTAAACCTACTGATTAGATTCCACTGAGGACAAATCATACTTTTCTGAGGAAAATACATATCTTTTTATTCAGTATTCCTTACAGCACTGGTTTTCAAAGTATGGTCCCCAAACAAGTGGCACCAACAGCAAGCACCTAGGAGCTTGTAAGAACTACAAATTTCTCATCTCCAGACCTAAGGCTTCAGAAACTGGGGAAAGTGCCAGCAGTCTAGATTCTAATAAGTCTTCTACGTGATTCTGATGAATGCTGAAGTTCAAGAGTCATATGAACTTAAAAGTTCACTTGATTACTGCCTTCTCTGAGTTTTAGTCTCTATCCCAAAACAAAACAAAGCAAAAATATTATTTTCCAGTTCCTAATATGTAGTCTCCCAGGTATCCAAACTATGACTCTGGGCCCAGGTCACCCAGGTTAAGGAGATGAAGCAGCTTCCAAAGGTGCTTGATTTACTATTAGAGGTCACTTCTCCCTTTGCTTCACCTAGCAAGCTTCTATTAACAAGAGCTCATCAGCCATTCAGAATCATCATCAGAGCATCTAATTAAATCAGGACCTACAGGTATAGCTCTTCTCTCTGGTGAAATGTAGACTAATATTTGATTATCAAAAAAGATGTGAACGTCTTTGGGACTGAATTTTTATCCTGTTTCCTCCCAGGAACTTGAGAGCAATCTGATTTGGGGCATTGGTTCTGTATTGTCATTTTACATGTGATTTCAATTTTTACTGTCTATACCAGTGGCTCACAGTCATCCGCTGTGTGTCAGAGTAACATTTCCAGACTCTGACAGTGTCACTTTAAGAAAGATTTTGATTTAATGACTGTTGAATGTTTAAGTCTCATCCAACTTTTCCTCATTGTCTGTAAGTGAGATGAGAGATTTATTACATCGCTCCATCTCTTTATCCTCTGATAATTAATGGCTAAATAGAATTTGTCTTGGCTTTTTATCTTACATTTTTTACCCTCCATTATGTATCATTGATCATTTGACTGGTTTCAAATCAGGTTGGTTCCCCATCCCTGTATATGCTTAGAAATGGACTAAATCAAAATCTATACAGAATTCTCCAATTCTCTTAACTAAAGCTTTTCAAGCACTTCTTTCAGTTTCTGAACACTTGAATTAAATATTACACTATGCCATACATCAAAGAAAGTATGGTTTTTGGAAGAGTGTTTGTTTTTTGAGCAATCACACTGTGACAGGACCTATCTAGATACTTTGTTGAGGAACTTACACCCCCAGCTAGCCAACTGCAGCACTAAAATTACTGAAATGTACAGGTCTTGCATAAATAACAAAACCAAATAAGTTGCAGATAGCATAACCCCTCAAGTGTGTTTGAAATGTCTTCAGTTATTTTAAGGTTTGAAATTCATACCAGGTAGATATATAGATAATCTTTTTTATAAAAGCCGTTTGAATATACAGATGCATCGTATTATACCTGCTGCTATACGCTTTGGAAAATCTTAGCACTGTTGATCAGGGACTGTGCCAACACATAGTTATGTTCATATGTTACTCAGGACTAGTGACCTTCTATCCAAGAAAGCATTATTTCCATTAATTCAACTGTCGATCACATTTCCAGATCATTCATTAATTAGTGTGAATCTAGTGTGTCTTGTTTAATTGGCAAAAAAAGGTTTTCTGTACATATTACCAATCTTAACATTATAATTTTAAAGAATTTAAATATAATTTCTTCACTTAATGTGCTGATAAATTTGATTAGCTGGATATGTATATTTAAATGTGCTCATACTTCTTAATTCCTGCCTAACAATTGTAATAGTTATGTACCATTTGAAATTGATATAGCAGACTTGCACGTGCTAAACCTATCATGCCTATCAACATTTTGCTGGTTATTATTCTCAGAAAAGAGAAGGAAAATGAACTTTCAAAAGGTAGGTACAAAGTTGTGTATATTTATATTATCAAATAATACAGGAAGACAGCCAAACCCCTTCCATTGTCCTTGATCTCTTCTGAGTTTAAACACTAAAGGTGAAGTATCAGTTTGGCATAGCCATACAACCTGAAATAATCCTTCTTGTTTTAATATTTTGCTTTTGGGCAATGTTTACTTTCCAGAAACAAGAATATTTTGTACATGTGAAAATGTATCATTCATTGGGCATTACATGAAAATTTCGTTCAGATTCTAAGAACTGTTACTGAAGATGGGCTGAACTTCTCATGGACAGATCCCATGTGAGAACAATCGGTTCTGGAGCCACCAAGATCCAGATGTCCCGCTGAACAGCTGCCATCCTCTGCAGTAACCTTGACATCACTGCTTTTGAGCTGTGACCATGTGTTATGCATTTCTTATCCTGGCGCCCATGAGTGAGGTCAGATGTTGTCTACCCTTAATTTTGCCCTTTGGGACTCTTTATATTTCTCAGTGGGATATACGGGCTCAGATACTGGTACCACAGAGCAGGAAAACTAAAGGAAAATTTTCCCATGCAATGTTCATGCAAGTAGGTGTTCGGGCTAAATTTTCATTACCCTTAAGTATTTAGTGTTGATTGCTCATCTCAGACAGTGATTATAAGTGAACTGGGAACAAAGTAGGCATCTACAGAAGAAAGAAGAAAGTGTTAAACTCTTTTGGGGTCTGTAACTTGGCTATTATCTGTAGAAAGCAATGTTTGATCAATTTACATAAGTGACACCATTACCCACAGTATTACTTACCTTTTGCTGGTAGCATCCTGGGAGCTAATTCCCAAGTTACCCATAACTTATATGAAGAGACATTTGTTAATATTTGGAATCCAAGTAGGTGTTGGGAAGGTCAGATCAAAGTAATTCATCACCTTTTTAATATTTGTAGTGCATTTTGTCATCATGAGCCAAAGGTCTAGAATAGAGAAAAATATGGATAGTAGGAACCAAATATAAGGTTTTTATTACTGTTTTGATATCATAATAGATCAAACATCATCTTAACTCTTACACTCAATATTGTATTGAGAATCAGAATCTTTGAAAACTACATAGAAAATTGCTGAATGCAATCAGTGGTACCTAGAAAGCATCTTTAATTGGTGAATTATGTATATTTGCTTTAAATATAATTATACTGTGTTTCTAAATTACAGGGTGCTTCACTAGACAGTAAGCTCTTTAAAGGCAGCATGTTTTGTCTAGCACAGTGGATGGGCATATTTTCAGTCTTCAGAATGTATTTGCTAACTGAACCAACCACATGTACACCATCAACCATCTTTCCCTACTACAGTGAGCAAACAGTGTTTATTAACTGATCTGGATAGCCAGATTTGCAAGAATCATTCAGCACCTAACAGACCAGTTGCCAGAGTGTATTCATGAAAATTCAAATCGTAATGTCCTTGGAATTTCCTAAGGGTTTAAGCTATGTCTTCACAGCCATGATGGTAGGAAAACTGAACCAATCAGACCCCTGCATCACCAGTATTGATGACTAACTTACTGAGTGTGAAATTTGCTGAATTTCCCATAATGGATACCATTAAATATTGATATCTACATTATCATTGCATGCACCATCTCTTGTGTTTGTGTAAGTGTATAATTGAGGCGTGAGTATGCATTGGCCATCACATTTGTGGATCTTTTTAGAGATTCTTATCATCACCACATAGTTTGCCACGCCAAGCCTTTTCCACTGAATGGCTAATGTAGAACAAAAATCCTTGAGAGTGTAACGTTGGTCCCTTAAACCCCAAGTTAATTTTGCTGTGGTACTTGAAGGAAAGTGGAGAGACCCATGTGATGAATTAAGATCAATTGCTCCATGATTATTGACTTTTCAATATCATCTGCCAGAACTTGTGCTTCACCCTCTACACAACAAGGCAGGTAAATCTTTGCTAGGCTTTATAGGCCTGTCAATATCCAGCCAATCTGTAGCTAATTGTGGTTTTGTGGCCTATTCAGCTTACTAGCATTCCCTTATTCCAGGATGTTTTGCTTGAAAAACTCACCTAGTTCATATGCCAGTTTCTTGTCAGTTAACAATTAATTTGCTGACCAGCTAAGTGTCTACCATAAAAATCACTGAAAATTGTGTGCTTCCATTCTTCTTCATCTTTCACTTTAGTACTTCCTTTCTCTCCACATTGGTAGCTATCCAAAACCCTTTCTACCATAGTTAGGTTTTGCGTACTTTGAAGTTTAGGTCAAAAAGCTTAAGTGGCCCAAGATCTAGCACTTTTAGCTTGCTTATGTTTATAATAATGCAGTATTGCTGAAGCAGTGGATAATGTGTTTTTCATCTGTCTTTTACAACCTGCATGAACAAGATTTGGCCTTATGATAGAACTGGGTACTATGACATAATTAGATAATGCCATTTTTTTCAACATGGCTACCGTCACACAGTCTGATGCTTACCAGGCTAAGAAATAGTACAACTGATTATAAACTTTTGATGTATGAACGGTGAAAGAAATTATGAAACTTCGGACTCTGCATTACTGATTATAGCTAAGAAAGTACATATTATTCTGCGTGGTTCAGGACAACACAATCATTGAATAGTCAAGATCTGTGTCCTTCCTTCACTTCTATATCCTTAACCTGCATACCCTTCACCTTCAGGGTATCAATAGTAGCTGACATAACCTCAGTGACTTTTGTCCTGAAGCCTTCTAATATATTGCACATGGGAGAAGATACCACCAATCAATCAATGACTACCAAAAGCTTAGCACTGTAATGAGTGTTCTGAAGTAAGCAAGGAAGGCAGGACTCCTGCTATTTTAGCTGTTCAGTAAATATTTGTTGAATGAATGTAATATAACAATAAGAACAAAAAAGTTAAAGAACTTTTTAATTCCTGTCTATGTGAAGAAGAGCAGTATTTTCCTTTAAAGGGCTTTTCTACCCAGACAATATTTAATTTTTGTTCTTGTTTGAAAAAATACAACAATCCCAGAATTTTAGTCAGTTTTTAAAAAGAAGGTTCTACATCATAGAAACTTTATTTTCACTAGAGAATATTCTTATTATTTATTATATATTCCCAACGAATTTTAAGAATCACTCTAATACTTGTTTTAGGTTTAAATGCCAAAGAAGGGGCTGGGGTATTTAAAATGAACTAGAATTTGCATGCATCCAAATGGGTGGATTTAAAAACATGGTGATCCAGTGGTTATCCTGCATACTGCCAAGGGGAGGAGTGTTGGGGCCAGAGGAATCCTGACTACTTCAGCCACTAATCACCTATATGTGGCTCAGCTTGCCATTTCACTTCTGTCTCTTAGCTGTTAATGGAGGAGGTTGGACTAAATGGTTTTCTGGGTTGCTTTCTATCTCTGATGGTTTGTGAGTGTGCTATTGACATGTACAATGACATTCTTCGCTAGACTAAAGGTATCATGTGTATCATGTGAATCTCTGCCTCAAAGCTGGTTTTAAGAGATATCAAACCATATTTGGATCATTGTTATTGTAACTTTGCTGGATTCAGTCATGTGACCCATAGAGCGTAGCTCCCCAGGTTCCTCTGTCCATGGGATTCTCCAGGCAAGAATACTGGAGGGGGTTGCCTTTTTATTCTCCAGGAGATCTTCCTGACCCGGGATTGAACCCATGTCTCCTGCATCTCCTGCATGGCAGGCGGGTTCTTTACCACTGTGCCACCTGGGAAGCTTTGGATCATAAACCTTGTCAATGATCCATTCAATAATCACCTTTTCATAAAAAATCACTTTACTTGCACAATCTGCCTTCCTCATCTTTCCATGTTATGTTTGATTTTAAAAAGGTATAGAATTAGAATCCTACCTCTACCACTGACCGGTGCTGGGGTAAGTGTGATTTGAGGTAATCAACATTTCTGAGCCCTTTTATCTCATCTGCATAATGGAATTGATTGTGTCTACTTCAAAAGAGCTGTTAGGAGACTTATATGCAATGGTACTTGAAAAATGCCAGGCTCAGAATGTGGCACTCAGTCATTCTCCATGAAGGTTTCTTACTTTTCTTTAACATCAACGCCTGATCCACTTCATTCGTAAAAATCTCCCATGAGCTCAGATTCTTGTCTCCACTTACTAAAGAGCAATGGATCACTCTAACTGTACAAAAATCAAGCTTGAAACTACTTGGATTCTAAAACATTTTTATTCTGTTAAATTGCATTAATTAATCAAATGTTTACTGAGTGCCAACTCTATTCTGAAATAATTTCCATAGTTTAACTCATTTACTCCTAACAGCAACCCTATAAGGTAAATATTTCTCATTGTCATTCAATAGCCTATCTGAAGTGAGGAAACTGAGGCACAGAGAGGTTGACCACCATACCCAAGGCCGTGCATTTGTGAGTATGGAGCCCACAGTTGGATGCATGCGCTTTGTCACTCGGTCACCTTTGCAAACCGCCATTTGATTAACTTTTAAATGATTAAAATGCAAAGGAATCAATGGCACTAAGGAGTTTGGGGAGGGGGGTTTGTTCTGTTTTGTTGCTGTTGTTTGGTTGGTGGTGGTGGTTTTGTTTTTTCAGAAAGACTTACACAGCATTTCTAGGAAAAGAAAGAGGCAAAACAGCTGTCAACTCCACTGACCTTGCTTAAATTTCACTAAGCCTCCATAATGCATTAGGTTTTGATACATCCTTCCTGTAGCCCACAGGAGTGAAAGAGCATCAGGCGGGGTTAGCGCCTAGAGGACTGAGCAGACCCCATTTCCTTACGGACTAGCCAGTACCAAGCACTTTTTGTAAACTTGAATACTTGTCTGTCCTAACAAGCATGAAGTGTGTGTGTGTGTGTGTGTGTGTGTGTATATATATATATACTCTGCCTAAAGAAGAGCCTCTGCTAATAGAAGGGACTTTTGGCTCAGTAGGAAAAAAAAACAAAACAAACCGGTGTGAGTGTCAGAAGAAGCTGAGGGGAAGCACGCAGAGGGTAGAGGGAGTGAGGAGCTTCTCTTCTAAACGCCCTGTCAATGTGTGAGTGGCAGCTGGGGGTGAATTTCATGAGCAAATACGGAATTTTGCCACTAAAGCCTTTCCTCCAGAGCTAATAATCTCATGGGATATTAATACAAGGGGAAAAGACCTTGGGTGAAGAAAAGAATTTTCCTTTTTCAGGATGGAGTTCTCTCAGGATGACAGAGAAGTCTCAGTGTCAGAAACTGGTAATTGAAGACCAAGCATTTTATCATAAGCAAATAGGAAAATGAGCTACAACCTATGGAGTCATCAAGTTGAAAAAGGAACCTGGTCATATCCGCCTACTCAAAGACCCTTTTCCCTACTTAAAACCCTCTAAGCTTTCCAGGGTGCCTGGGCCTTTTGACCCTAATCATCATTCTGTACCAAGGTCATCAAAATAGAAATCGGGTACATGTATCCAGATTGCCAGGAGAAATATCAATAACCTCAGATATGCAGATGACACCACCCTGATGGCAGTGAAGAGGAACTAAAGAGCTTCTTGATGAAAGTGAAAGAGGAGAGTGAAAAAGTTGGCTTAAAACTAAACATTCAGAAAATTAAGATCACGGCATCCGGTCCCATCACTTCATGGTAACTAGATGGGGAAACAGTGGAAACAGTGACAGATGTTTTTTTCTTGGGCTCCAAAATCACTGCAGATGGTGACTGTAGCCATGAAATTCAAAGACAGTCACTCCTTGGAAGAAAAGCTATAACCAACCTAGACAGCGTATTAAAAAGCAGAGGCATTGCTTTGCTGACAAAGGTCCATCTAGTCAAAGCTATGGTTGTGAGAGTTGGAGTATAAAGAAAGCTGAGCACTGAAGAATGAATGCTTTTGAACTGTGGTGTTGGAGAAGACTCTTGAGAGCCCCTTGGACTGCAAGGAAATCCAAGGCCAAAAAATGTCAATATGAGCAGTATAGCTGTTACATAATTTTTCCAAGGCAGAAAAGGCAATAAATTGCAAAATACTGTACTAAGAGAATATATGGTTCTTGATAAGAGCAGCTGCTACTTCACTGAGGTATACAACGTTTTAAAACTTGTTTTTTTCTGTTTGGAGGTATGTTAATTTGTTCACTTGTCTTATTTATTACCATCCTGCCTGTGTTGTGATTCTTACCTGTATGATGTGGTTTATATCCACTGCTTTTCAGTGAGGGGAGTGCCACCATGTGCCTTTGGTGTTTTTATGCTTAAAAAATAAAAAAGTGAAAACACAAGGACTGAATGCCAACAGGTGTATGTCCTTGACTAAATTCTTTAGCTATGTGTGTGCATAATAATGGTTTTCATGTGGGCAATTATCTGATCACTTACTGTGGGATAGTCTGCTGAACTGAGCTTCGGTTTCAGTTACATGGGATGGAAGTGAGCAATATTAAAGTATAAATAGGCCCAAAATGCAGACTTTCGTTTTGAAGCTTTTAAGCCAGGAACATACATCAATTAAAAAATAAGTTTATGTTATATGAGACTTGCCGCATATTGGAAAATATATAGCAGAAAGCAGGTACCCTCAGGTGTGCCTTAGCACAAACCTGTAACTCTTCAAGTAATAAAGTAAATCTTCACATGTTTTGAATATTAGAGACGTGGGAGATTGCTGCTAATTGCATTTGGGGAGTTAAATTAGGATGAATAAATGATTTTGGCCTCAACTCTTAAAATTGGGAATTTTTCTGAAATGTATGAGTAGATTTTCTTAACTAGAAAGACAATGAATTTTGTCAATGTATTTTTTATGATTTAGATCTAGCATGCCAGGGACATAATTCTAATATCAATCATCATCGTATGATATAATAAATAGATATAAATGAAGGAGGTGAGACCATCTATATTGTTGGACTCAAAATGGTGGGTAGCCAGTCACCACAGGACTCTATTACAGACCAGCCCTATGCAGATTATTAAAGGGGGTAAAGAAATACCATAATTCTTTGCTGTAGGGGGTTGTTTTATACATTGTGGGGTGTTTAGCAGTAAGCATTTCTGGCCTCTTTTTAGAGGGGCAGAAAGAACAGACTTACTTCCTGTGAGTGTAGTAGGAATTCAGAAAACAGAAAAATAACACAAATCAAGGGAGATTTTGTAGAGGAAGTGGGTTATGCGCAGGATCTTGAAAGTTGGCAAGTCAGGTTAAAGAACTTGATGACTAAGTGGTTACTGTTTTTTAACCAAAAGGAGGTCATTGGTGATCTTGATGAGAAAAATTTCAGTAAGCCACATTACAACTATTGAATGAATCATAAGTTTTAAAGACAAATTCCTCTTCTGACCCAGGCTTACACATAGCCTTAATATCCACCATATTGACAGAAGTGGATTTTAGGGGTCATGTGAACTTCTCCCCAGTACAATTCACACATAACCTAAACCATTCAGTGAGTTATTTCTCCTCCACTTTTTACCTGATTCTTCTTTCTTCTCCTCTTCCTTCTCTTTCTTTTATCTCTTGCTTGCATCATGTTTCTTAACTTTTTTTCCTTCCTCTTTCCTTCAGTAGGTCAACAGAGGTCTGTGAGAAGAGAATCCACAGTCATGACCTGTGTATTACTTTCCTGTTGTTGCTGAAACAAATTACCAGAAACTGGTGACTTAAAACTATAGAAATGTATTCTCTCACAGTTCCTGAAGCCAGAAGTCCAAAATCATTTTCACTGGACAGCAATCAAGGGCTGCACTTGCTTCAGGGGCTCTTAAGGAGAATCCATTCTTTGACCCTTCCAAGTTCTGGAGGCTGCCAGCATTCCTTGGCTTGTGGCCACATCCCTCTAATCACTATCTCATAGTCATATGACCTCCTCTTCTCTGTATATCCTATTTTTTTCTGCCTCTCTCTTATAAGAACACTCATCTATGAAAATGAAAATACTAGTTTGAAAAGATATATGCACCTCAGTGTTCCTAACAGCATTGTTTATAATAGTCAAGAAATGAAAGCAGCCTAAGTAAACACCAACAGATGAATGGATGAAGACCTCACACACACACACAAACACACACACACACACACACACACACACAGAGGAATATTATTCAGTCATAAAAAAGAATGAAATTCTGCCATTTGCAACAACATGGATAGGCCTAGAGAGTATTAAATTTAGATAAATCAGAAAAAGACAAATACTCTGTTATCTCTTGTATGCAGGATCTAAAAACTAAATGAAGGCATAAAACAAAATAGAAACAGATTCACAGTTGTAGAGAACAAACTAGTGGCTACCAGTAGGGAGAGGGAAGAAGGGAGGAGAAGATGGGTGTGGGTTTAAGAGACACAAACTGCTATGGATAAAATAGATAAGCAACAAGGCTATATTGTACAGCACAGGGAGATAAAGACTTTTTTACTTAATAGCTATAAATGGAGTATAACCTACAAAAATATTGAATCACTATGTTGTACAGCTGAAACTAATGTAATATTGTAAATCACATACATCAGGAAAAAAGGTAGTGACACTCATGATTACATTTAAGGCCCGTTTAAATAATCCAGGGTAATCTCCCCATCTCAAGATCCTTAATCATGTCTACAAAAACCCTTTTTCCAAATAAGGTAATATTTACAGGTTCCAGGGATTAGGACCTAACACATTTGGGCACCATTATTCAGCCGCCAAACATCAGAATATTACAAAGAGTCCTTCCTTGCCATAGGGTAGACAACACTGCATTCATCCTGAACACACAGGAGCCTCTCTGGTGGAGCTCACTTGAAGCATGGGAAAGGAATCGTCGTCTGATGTGCTCTGTGTTCACTGGAACAGTGGTCTGAGTGAGAGCAATACCTCCCCGCTAATGACTGAAAAAGGGAAAAGGGACTCATTTAACTTTCCAATTCCCTAAGCACCAACCATTAGTCCTAAATAACAAGGTTCGGGGATAAAGTGTATTCTTCATGGAGTGCTCCCTATTTTCGGGATTAAGGGTGTGTTCCTCATGGAGTGCTCCCTATTTTCCTCCTCAGACTTGAGAGTTTGTATTTTTTTTCAGTAAGGAAGACCTATCCCCTGGGCTTATTAGTTTCTGGTTCAGGTTGCCAGTGTACCCTTATTAATTCAAGCTGGAGGAGAGGTACAAAAGCACACAGGATCAATAGGAATCCTCTCAGCTGGAGATCCTGCTAAATACACCTGAGATACTGACTGCAAGAAAGAGATGCTTTGAGCCCTTCACAGGTACCTTTCTCCAAGTAATCCCATCACCCACAAAGTATCTGGGTGAGGATGAGGAGGGTGAAAATATGAATAAGGAGCATGAAAATTTGTGCCCACTTTCCTACCTGTATCCATTATTGGCAGACCATTTTCACTTGCTCAGTCCTACAGCAGAGGGAATCCAGATGTATTTGCAAGCGTTAATTTTTATGGAGTGGTCTCTAAAGCCCTTGTGTATTCTTGTTCAGCCACTCTCAAATTCTTATTCAGTGAATTTTAGAATAGCAATTCTAATGAGAAATATTACCCTTTTAAAAGAGCATTTTTACCATAACTCTAAGACACTATAGTCCCATATGATCAATAATTATTTTTACTTTTTCCAATGTTAGCTTAAGTGTTAGTTCCTCAGTTGCATCTGACTCTTTGCAACTCCATGGACGGTAGCTTGCCAGGCTCCTCTGTCCATGGGATTCTCCAAGCAAGAACACTGGAGTGGGTTGCCATGCCCTCTTCCAGGGGATCTTCCCGACCCAGGGATTGAACCCAGGTCTCCTGCACTGCAGGCAGATTCTTTACCATCTGAGCCACCGGGGAAGCCCATTGTATATTAAATGAGGTGTAGGGATATTTGGTTTTCCAGCAGCATTTGTGCCCTCATGAGGAAAATATCTCAGGATCCCTACTGAGTCGGGATGATTTTTCTCAACTCAGTATTCCTCAGCCTTGGCACTATCGATATTTTATACTAGGTAATTCTTTGTCATGGCGGTTGTCTTGTGTATATTAAAATGTTTAGCAGCATCCCCACCTTCTACCCTCTAAATGCCATTTCACTGATGAGTTGTAACAATCAAAAATGTCTATAGACATTACCAAATATTTTTCTGGGGAGACAAAATCACCCCTGATGGGGAATTGGTGTTCTAACTCTATGATTTGCTTGGTTAATAGTAATAGTGTTTATGGAGCACTTACTAATTGCTAGTCACTGTAATAAGCACTTCACTTGCATTAATGAAACCAAATCTTTTAAAATCTCACAGGGTAAATTCCATTATTAACTCTATTTTCCAGATAAAGAAACTGAGTCTGGAGCAAGTGTGCTTAGATTACACAAGTTTTAAAAATTAGAGTCAGGATTTGAGCCAGAAGTTAGGATTTAGAATTCGTGCTTTTAGGCATGATGGCACAGTTGTGGTCCTGTGCTCATACGAATAGGCTGTTACAGATTTAAAAGCCTCTTCCTTTGCATCTATTTAAATAAACTATAACAACGAATGAAAGGATTAGGAAGGACTATTTATTGAAATCCTACAATGAGAGGGGCACTCATCTTGAGACTTTCATGTAAGTCATTTCATTTAATCCTCACAGTAGCCTGATGGAATAGATATTGCTATATTCATTTTTTTGTATAAAAGAATTTGGCACCAAAAAGGAAGTAATTTTACCCAAGGTAAGAGCTAGTATAATAACTGGCAGTAACTGAATTTGATCCAGTGCCTGCTAAGTCCATGTTCATTCTATTTTTTTCCTATTATTTCCTTGACTTTTAAAAAAGATGGCAGGAGGGGTATTTTTTGGTTCTCCATATATATTTTCTGGTCCAGTCTCCCTTACTGTACAAATTCCACATTTGTACCTGACACTTGGCGATCCTGAGCTCTCACCTGTGGTGCGCTGTGTGAAGTCGCTCAGTCGTGTCCGACCCTTTGCAACCCCAGGGGCTGTAGCCCACCAGGCTCCTCTGTCCATGGGATTCTCCAGGCAAGAATAGTGGAGTGGGTTGCCATTTCCTTCTCCAGGGTATCTTCCCAACCCAGGGATCGAACCCACGTCTCATGTCTCCTGCATTGGCAGGTGGGTTCTTTACCACTAGCACCACCTCACAAGCCCAAGCTCTCATCCTTCCTTCCCCAAAGCTTCTGGCAGGTGCAGGCACATGTGAGTGTGCATGGCCACCCAAAGACTAGATGTGAATCCTAGCTCGCCATTTCTCTGCTACCTGACCCGGGGCCAATCATATAATAACTGGGGACCTCAGCTTCCTTATCCGTAAACATGGTGCTAATAATGATGCTCACTGTGAAGGGTAAAGATCAGAATTAATGTATCAAAACACTATTATTACTTGGTACAATTTGTTCCTTAAAATCACACACAGGTTATGCATTCTGCCACTTTTCTTTTTTTGTCCCTTCCTTTCAGAGCACTTACAATGTTTCCACCCCAGTCCCCCTTACCCCATCAAGGGTATCCAGAAACCTGCTTAGAAATTCAGTAATTCATCCTTGATTGAAATGAAGGTATCTTGGGAGAAGGCAGATCCTTTGAAATCTTTATTAGCTAAACATACTTCTGAAGACTAGTATGGGTATCCAGAATGGGGAGATGAAGACAAGGAGAAAGGGATTTCACAGATATTTTTTGGATAGACCATATGAGAAAAATGATTATGAAAGATGGCGTACCCTGATCTGTATCCACAGAGAGCAACATTAAGAGCTTCATAAAAGTTTTCATTTTTTAGAGAAAATTGTATTGTTTATTGTGGTATAAGTGACATATAACATTATATTCATTTCAAGTATACAACACACCTGTCTCTGACCACATCTGTCTCCATCTGACCTTGTGAGATGACCAGTATTCCCATATATAATTACACAAATTGTTTTCCTTGGGATAAGCACTTTTAAGATCTTTCTTAGCAAATTTTAAATATGTGGTGCAGAATTGTTAATTATAGTCACCATGCTATACATGACATGTCTATGACTTTTTAAATGCAATTTTTATTAGCGCTATTCTAAATAAGTCTAAGTATATAGCTCACTGATCCCTCTTCTTTTTCACACACAAAAAATCATTTTTACACAGTTTTTAAGGTTACATTCCATTTACAGTTATTACAAAATTTTGACTTTATTCCCCATGTTGTACCGTGCTTCCTTCTAGCCTGTCTTACACTCAAGTTTAGTTTTATTATAGTTTTATAACAAACTTATTTAGTTTACAACAGGAAATTTATACCTTTCTAACCCCCTTAAAAAAATTTGTTTTACCAAAGCCTAAATTATGAGTTATATAGATAGGACTGATGTAGAAGTTAAATTTTTATGGCCTCCTGATGCGAAGAACTGACTCACTGGAAAAGACCCTGATGCTGGGAAAGATTGAAGGCAGGAGGAGAAGGGGACGACAGAGGATGAGATGGTTGGATGGCATCACCGACTCAATGGACATGAGTTTAATAAGCTCCAGGAGCTGGTGATGGACAGGGAGGC